AGTTTTTTGAGGAAACTCCATACTGTTCTCCACAGTGGCTGCACCAGTCTACATTCCCACCAGCAATGCACGAGGGTTCCCCTTTCTCCACATCCTTGCCAGCACTTGTCATTTGTTGAATTGTTGATGACAGTAGAGAGATGGTACTGCATTATTGTTTTGACTTGCATCTCTTGGATGATTAGTGACTTTGAGCATGTTTTCATCTGTCTCTTGGCCTTCCTTCTGTCTACAAGAATGACGTTCTTTAAAGATGAAACTAAACCAAAGAATGACCCTTACCCCTCTATACACTCATTTTGATGAAGCACACACCTAGAAAACTAATAAATATTCTGTCAAGACCTCCCCTGAGACCTCCCCTAGGGTTCCCAGCCACACATACAAAAATAAAAGCCTCAAGACAAAGGACCCAGCACAGGCTCTCTGGAGCATACCTACACCTTTTCTGTGGCATGAACTTTTTATTTTCTTTCTCCTAAACGCTTAAGTGTCCCTGTGAGACTTACAACCAGGGTAGCAGCGGGCAGGGGCAGCTAGTCCCAGGCTAACCCCCTGAACCTGTCTCCAAGGCTTCCTTTTCTCTGAGTTTCCAGTAAGCTGACAGCAGTCCCACTTTGGCTCACTTCTCTCACTGTGACTTTTACTTCTCATTGAATTCATGCAGCCCAGCATTCTTTCCTATAACATTGTGGAGAGCCACAGTAGCCCTGCCTAGGCTCTCTCCTGTTGCTTCTTCTACTCTTAGCCCTTCCTTTGTTTCACTGTCCCCAGCTTTAAGAAATGTACTCTCAAAATCACCTGGACTCATGGTGTGAAACCTTTCCCACACAAAGTCAAGAACCCACACACTATAGGCCAGCTGAAGGCAGATCCACTCTGAGCCAGGTCCCCATCAGTTAATATAACCACTATTTTTTTACACCTGAAACTAATATAAAATAATATTGAATATCAATTGTAATTGAAGAAAGTATTTGTTTTGTGTTTTATGAATTTCTTCTTTTTATGTCTACTATTTATTTTATTTGATGTATTTGAGTTTGATGTGCTAACCATTCTCTACTGTTTTAGTTTGAGCCTCTAATAATAAATTTTCAATTTATAT